TGAGGATGAGCAATCGTCACTATACGATTTTTAGGATGAACCCAATACTTCTTTTCACGTGGCTCTGGTTTAACTAACCAGGGGGCGGATTACGAACTCTCGATTCGAACCGAAACCGCCACGGATTTCGAACGCATTCTGATGCATTCGCATGGAGTGCGTTCGAAAACCATGTCGGTTTCGGTTCGAATCGAGAGTTCGTAATCCGCCCCCAGGTTACAAAACGGTTAGAGAAATGACATACCGTTCTTAACCCGGTTACAAAATGACGTGATGGATAAAGTTCGTTTCACCAGGGTTCATATTTGACCTTGAAACTTGATAAAAAAGGGTTGTCATAGATTAAAGTGTGATTTATAAACTCCACCGTTCCCGTCACCGTTCGTTGTTCCCGTTCCCGTTCCAACTTCAAATATAGGAAATTAATGTAAGCATTTATATCCACCGTTGCCGTTCCCGTTCGTCGTTTTCCTCGCGAACGGCACCGTTCCACCTTGGTTAACATTTTAACTCGACCGTTCGTCGTTCGTGCAGTAGCCAATCAAATTAGACAATTTTGGTCATGTGATTCAAGATAAATATATTGGGTTAGGATGTGTTTTTGTTTGTGTTGTGTTTTCTAATTTCCAAAGCAACACAGTTGAGGTGGTGTAGTGAATAGTGATTAGTGAATCCTATTTTATTTATATTTAGGTACCTATTATTTATTTACAAAAAATGATATAAATCTAACCTAAAAATGTATACATTTTGTCAGCGGGAACGGCAACGGTTTAGAGTTTATAAATGCTCAGAAACGACACGAACGGTGACAACGAACGGGAACGGTGACAACGAACGGTGACTGAGAGTTTATAAATCAAGCTTAATTCATTCACACATTAAATTTTTTTGACAAATTAAAATAAATACAATGAACTATAAACTACACGTACATGGAATGGCTCGGCCTATCTCTAAAATGCGGCAAATTGAGATGGAGAATGTAGGGGCAAAGATTATACAGTCTGTATAATCTTTGGTAGGGGATTCCTATCACTATTTACCTTATGGGTAACTTATGAAAATCTTTTCCTTGTCTAAAAAATATTAAATTTGAGGTTAGGAATATACACCTAACAGCAATGAAATAGAGAGAGTAGGGATAACAAACTATCGATAGGAATATCGATACTATCGATAGTTTTTTAATTTTCGATAGTATCGATAGACCTGCACCAATATCGATAGTTCCAATGTAGCCAAAGGTAAATGAAAACATCTGTATATAGAGGAAATTATAAAGAAATCTGTAGTCTTTTGGAGAAATCTGTAATTATTTTTGGGGATAGACATGCTGTGCTGCCAATTTTTCGGTTAGGAGGAGTGACGAGTGACTTTGATGGGCTTGACGGAGGTTGGAGGTTAATGTTTATCGTAATTAATTACAAATTTGGTTACTTTGGTCAAAGCAAACTATCGATAGTACAATCGATAGTTACTATCGATGGGTAGGCCATTCTATCGATATCACTATCGATAGTTTTTTTTTCGATAGTTTGTCAACCCTAAGAGAGAGAAAGGGATCCCCCACTGTATAGCTTTCTTTGGACGCACTAATGCGCGTATTACATCTGTGTATTTTTCTGTGTATTTATTCATGTAGTTCAGGGTGACAACCAAAAAACTTCAATCGCAACATAAATCAACATTATGAAAAACAAAATAATGTTGGCACCCTGAACTACATGAATAAATACACGGAAAAATACACAGATGTAATACGGGTTTAAGAGAGATGACAAATGCCATACAATCGCCATATACGACAACGGTCGGTGCCATTCCAGGTACGTGTAGTTTATAGTTCATTGAATAAATAACGTCTGGTTTAAGAACCGACGAACGTTTTTGACGTCATTGATTTGTTTCAGTCAATTTTTATTTATTAAACAAGGAAGACAAATGCTGGTGGCAAGTACAAACCCTGGTGAAACAAACTTTACCTACCAGTCGAATTTGAGCGGTATGTTGCGGTTTGTTAAACCGCAGCCACGTGAAAAGGGTTAATGAATAAGCCCAAGAACATTAGGACTGTTGAGCTAATGGCGTTTTCCATTTGTCGTCTCAGTGCAGCATTCAGTGCGCACGAGAATTTTTCTAGTGCTGTCAAAAACGCGCACCAGTGCAGTATAAATGGAAAGCAAAAATGCAGACTCGGCTCGGATTCTGGGGTTATGTAAAATCTTATGTTGATGTGCGTTTTTATTCTCATCGATGGATTCACCGATGAGTTAGCTATCTTTGTTTAGTGAATGGAAAATGACAATGACCGACATAGAATGGTGGATCCATCGGTCAAATATGATGAGAATAAAAACGCACGTTTGGTTAGTTGTTTTTGTTTAGCATTTGCCGGTTTCTGGTTACCTGCTCTGCATGTTTTATAGTATAGAGGCTGTTCATTTGTACTCTACCTACTCGCAAAATCAGGAAGATATGCTAGGAGCTGCTATTTACGAGCTTATTATATGGGAGTTATGGGACAAGTGAACGCCGATCAGCTGATGAGATCTGCTTGAAACAAGAAAAGCAGTACAAATGAACAGCCTAAAATTGTAATATTAATAAGTTTAGTCTGGGCTGTCGTTCTATGGTTCTAGAGTGAACTACAAAAACTATTTAAAAATTTGATGTATTTGAAATGAATTTTAGAGTTAATGAAGAAGAAGTCATACTAAATAACTATTTAGTTCGATGGTCCAGATCATCTATTTGAAATAACAGCTTCTTCTAGTTCTTTTCCGCGGTTTCATCCGCCGTTAAATTTAGAAGAAATTGACTATCTATAAATAATTTAAAGTACCTACTTCGCATCAGACAATATTTTTAAACAACAATAATAAATAATAATATATCTAAAAACAACGTGGATATGCTGCGGAATACGTTCAAATAATATAATTTCGTCATAGAATTCAACTTCGCTGCTGCTACATATCAAATCCAAAAGTGCAACAACTTTTTCTTTGGAAATTAGCAGACATTTTTATGTACGGTACATGTAACAAAAACAAAACAAACTGCACTGGCTCTCCACGAGCCTTCCTAGCTCGTGCCAAAAAATGCGCACTGAGTGCATAAATAATTGCACTGAATTTCAAATGGAAAATGAAAACTGAAAATGTGCAGTCAAATGGAATATAAAAATTGCACTGAGTGCACCTCCGTGCAACAAATGGAAAACGCCATAAGTGTCTGCCATGTCCAATGAACTATAAACTACACGTACCTGGAATGGCCCGCCGATCTATAAATTTGCGGCAGATTGAGATGGAGAATTTGGGGTACACCCATCTCTATTTATCTTATTGGCGAATCATGGAAATCTTTCCTTGTCTAAAAAATATTTTATTCGAGGTTAGGAATATGCCAAACCTAACAGCAATGAACTGGAGAGAGAAAGGAATCCCCCACTATGTAGCTTTTTTGGACGCACTAATCGAGATGACAAATGCCATACAAATGCCATATCCGACAACGGTCGGTGCCATTCCATTCCAGATACGTGTAGTTTATAGTTCATTGGAAATGTCAGCCGCAGACCTCAACTCTTGGCGTACAATGTATTCTCCGAGTTTGAAAGAAAATAGGTCAACTATTAGCTGCTTATAGTGGTGACGTCACTCGCAGACCTTGCCGACTCGAGAATTGACGAGCGTACGCCTTCTTATGATGACGATGAGCAATCCTGTTAGCCTGAAATCATATGGAATTAAATAATCCGCTAGAGGCTTATAAACTGAGCTTAGTGTTAGTTTATGATTCTTGGTCACACCCCAAATAGGTATATGGGCATGGCTGTCATCCTCCGTTTCTCTACTTACTAGGATGATCATTTGTACTGCTTTTCTTGCTCCAAGCAGATCTCAGCAGCTGATCGGCGTTCACTTGTCCCATACTCCCATATAAAATCTGTTTTTTTTTTTTTAAAGATAAAAGTCAAAATGACATTATGTTGGCAATACAATGTAAAATTGTCAATGCTTTCAAATTTTTTATGTAGAAAAGGCTTGTGTTGCCAACATAGTTATTAAATTTTTGACTTGGGGAATTATCTTAAAAAAAAATAGACTTCAATAGCCGCTTTCCAGCTGTGTGCTTCAAGCACGGTGCAGCACAGTGTTCTGTGTTTGAAACGCAAAAGTTAGCTCGAGAGCTGCTACGGCTGAAACATGAACACGCGCTTGAAGCATTTGCGTGCGCAAAAGCTCGATTGCGTGCTCAAAAGCGTCAGCTGGAAAGCGGCCCTTATTAATAAGCTAATAAATAGCAGCTCCTAGCAGCTTCCTGATTTTTAGGTAACAAGTACAAAACTTATACGTTATATCTAGTAAATTGTAAACTGTTCTGTCAAAGTCAAACCATATCGCCCGGAGCGTGATGCAAAAGTAAAAAGGTTAGTTCTTTAGAGGAATGGAGTGAGGAAAATGATAGCAGCTCGAGAGCGCCAAACTCTGTTCACCCGAACGGGTGAGATTGTAGCCGGAGTGCTTCGGAGTAACTTGGGAGCGTTTAAGCGTGGCAGCCGAAAGCAGCTCTGTTCGGTGAAATACATCTCTGCCCGATGAAAACGCTTAATGTAAATGACTTCTTTGACAGATGTGAATGCGTTCGAGAACTCGAAAACTGTCTCTGAGGAAATTTAAGTAAACTGCTCATATATAACGAAAAAAAAAAACTAATTTTTGGAAAAATCAAGGTTACTGTACTTGTATCACTTTGATAACTAATAAGTAGCACTTCTCAATCATAGAGGGCACCACCAGTTGTAGAACTATTTGTATTGTTAATGTTAATTTCAAGCCAAAATAACTCTTTTTTAAACTAAAAAATAACTAAAAACTCTCCAATTTATTTCTTTTTATAAATTTTTGAAAAAGTTAGGCCGAGTTCCAGAGAATGGGACGGTGAAACTACAAACTAAATACACCTCGGTGGGGGGTGGGGGAGTATTCGACGTATTCGACGAAAAATGGCTGCCGAACAAGTTTTTCAATGAAAATGTATTCTATTGACAATTCGCGATAAAATGAACTTTTAATCGATTTTACGAAAAAGGTGATTATGTTAATAATTGTGCCCTAACAAATTGTTTGCCCTTTGTGTGTTGTTTTTACGTGCTGGAGGCAGGTTCGTCTATTTTTAGTACCGAATAGTTTATATTTAGGTTAAGCTTTTATCAATTTTTATTTTGTGAATTTTCCCATTTTTCTCCCATTGTTTTTAGCATTACACTTAAATTCACATTTGATAAAAATATGTTTACAAACGATAAAAGTATAAACAAAAACATAGAGATAAAACTTGGCTGTCAAGTACGTAAATAATGGTTTAAAAATGTGCCTTGGCACTTGTTCTAAATAGAATTTCCTACTATTATAGCAAAAACGTCACTTGAGTTCTCATTAGTAAGTAAATAAAATCTCGCATCTCTATCAAAGTGAGTAAATATTTAATATTACTTATCATTCACTTAATATTTTACACATTTCATTGACAGAAAGCATGAGTAATATTTTCACCTCCCCTCAGCATAACTAATTAATTTAAGGTTTCGAGATTATTATTTAGGGTGGGAATATTAATATTTTTCTTCACCTTAGGTTTAATCCTTCATTATTAGATTTGCCAGGCAATAATTCATTAAAAATTATAATTTTTTTTGGGGTCTGTAATTGGCACTCATTTGCATCTAACAGTAATTTATTTTATGAATAAGTAAATGAAAACTTGCCACTTGAAAAATGTGTTAACTTGGGTGCTAATAGAATCCACTGCACTGACCAATATAAATAAGGTTTTTTTTTTTGTTTACAAGGAATTGTTCAAAGTGCTTATTTTACTGAGGATTTTTCTATACAAATCTTAAATGTTCAATAAAATACATAGTTACTTACACTTCCAGGAAATGTTGAGTACTTGGCATTCTATATACTTTTTATGATCTCATCATCAATTATGCACCAATTTATCATCTGCATCTATCAAATATTGATAGTGAGAAATGAGGCATTTATTTTGATTTTGGATTTTTAAATTTTTTATTACATAGGTTCCAATTTTCAACTAAGTACATATTTTATTTTAGTTATGTAATGCACTTTATTACTACACCACTGGAGTAGCTAATGACTAATTAACTCATTACATCACTGATATTTATATGACCAATAGGTAAATATGATTCAATGGAAAATATAGACAAATTTATTTTGGAATGCATCAAAATATCTTCTAGCAGTCTCAAAGACAAAATGAAACTTCCTTCAACGTAATTTTTTGAAAATTCAATTTTTTCACAAGTTTGTCTTCTCTAGCTTCATTTGCAGAGAGTAAATTCAATCCATCTGACATTTTCCTCAAAAGAAAAATTAAACTTCCATTGCCGTTTTTTGTGAATTTTCCTCATAACTTTTTTAATTTCAATCCAATTTAAATGTAAGTAGAATCAAATTGAAGCTAACAACCTCTACAACTAATTTTTCATCTTTTCTCTATCCATATGCAAAATATCAACTAGGTAATTGGTAATTCAGGCTTCAACTTAACTAAAAAATATAGTATATGTAGTTGAATTTTATATTTATTCCATTACTTACAAAGTCAAAGTTTAAATCTATCCATTACAAGAAACTAAACAAAAAAACAATAACAAACAAAATGAATCTGAAAAATCTGGCTTTATTCCAATACAGCTACATAGTTCAAATCGACTTTCCTTTCACAAAAAAATAAACAAAAAAACAATAACAAACAAAAAAACAATAACAAACAAAATGTCTTATTTTTAAGTTAAAAGACATATCACTATCTATCTATCTATTCAGCCTTCTTTAGTCCATCTTTGGACATAGGCCTCCCCCAGTCTTCTCCATTCTTCTCTGTCTGTTGCCATGTTCATCCACCTGGTTCCAGCATGCTTCTTCAGGTCATCAGCATACCTCATCTGGGGTCTTCCTCTACTTCTTTTATTCTTCCAAGGTCTCCAGCTTAAGATACATTTATTCCATCTGTCGTCTTTTTGTCTGATATTGTGACCTGCGAATTTCCATTTTAATTTTGCTACCTCCTTTCTAACGTCTCTTACTCTCGTTTTATTTCTCATCCACTCGTTCCTCTTTTTATCTATCAGTTTTACATGTAACATTTGTCTTTCCATTGATCTTTGTGCTTTTGTTATTTTATCCATGTTTGACTTTGTAAGTGTCCATGTTTGGGATCCATAGGTGAGAACAAGAAGTATACATTGATTATAAACTTTGGTTTTGAGGTATTGGATATTTTCTATTTTTCAAGATGTAGCTCAATTTACCGAATGCTGCCCAAGCTAATCTAACTCGTCTCTTGATTTCTGCTGTTTGGTTTTCTTTGCTGAGTTTAATAATCTGTCCCAGATATACCGGGTGTCTACCAGATCAGTTTCATGCTGGCATTTGCTGTTTTTTTTTCAATGGCAAAGATTTTGGGTATAGAGTGTAGGTTTGAGAAATGTTATCTTTTGACATGTGTGTCCATGTTTGGTAACTTCCGGTTTGTCCGAAAATGGTCATAACTCCAAAATTCGAAAGACCGAAACCACTGAAAGGTAACAATGAAAATGCACCTTTCCTGAAGATAGCACAAAGAATGTCTTTTCTTTTTATCTCAGGCTTTGCACCAGAGGTGAAAAGTAACGAAATTATGGAATATCTAAAACAAAATGAACTGGACAAGGGATGTTCATGTGAAAAAATCCACACAAAGAAGAGCAAATACCGTTCTTCATTCAAATTGGCTGTACCACACAACAGCCGAGATAAATACATGACCCCGACACTGTGGTCCAACGGAGTCATCATAAACCATTTTATAAACCTTCAGAGTCGAAAGATGACACTCAGAAAATTATAAGCGTAATGCACGCAAATGTAAGGTCATTACGAAACAAAACTGATGAGCTGGAAGCTTTTCTAGTAGACAAAAACTTTGATGTTGTCTGTCTGACAGAGCACTGGATGACTGGTACAGAAATTGAAACATTGGAAATTCCAGATTATAGACTAGCTGACTATTCGGCAAGACAAAACTCCACTGGTGGTGGAACTGCCATCTTTATAAAAAAAAATATTGATTTTAGTGTGTTAAGTATTTGTTCAGATTTTAATGTAGAAAAATGTTTAGAATGTTGTTGTATTCGTTTGACATATTTTAATTTAAATTTTTTAACTGTTTATCGCTGTCCATCAGGTAATTGTGACACCTTTTTGACATCCTTGGATGGGATGTTATCTCGCTTGGGCACGAACAGGCGAACTGTTTTAGCAGGCGACTTCAACATAGCACTTGGCAGTGAACATACCAACTACCTACAAATGCGAAATGTACTGGAGAGTTTCAACATGAAACAAACAGTTTTTGAAGCAACAAGAGGTGAAAACTGTCTTGACAATATTTTTCTAGATCAAGATACAGAGGTTAGATTGGCTGAGGTTTTTGACCTGGGTTTTTCTGATCACCGAGGTCAGCGGGTTGATTTCATAGCAGAAACGAAGAGACAGCCTTACATAGAAAACATAACAATGTCTAGACCTATAACACAAAGGGGTAAGTTTCAGTTCCACAATAAAATAAATGAGGCAGATTGGGATTTTATAAATGGGACTAATATGAATGTTGATGATAAATTCGCTGATTTCATGAATATACTTGAGAAAGCTTACTTGGACTCTTTTCCAGAAAAAGTCTATAAAGCTAAATCAAATAACCCACAAAAAATAAATTGGTTTAGTGAGGAATTGAAAACAATGCGTGAACAGTTGTGTTTTTTGCATGACCTCAGTATACAATATCAAAGTGAAGAAATTTCTCAAATGTATATAGAACTAAGGAGAAGATACAAAGCCGAGATACGGACAGCAAAGCTTCAATCTAACAAGAATTACATTCAGACATCTGGTAATCCGTCACGTGCTGTCTGGGAGATTATAAATTGCAAACGGGGTATTACAAAAAATAAGAAAAGTTCTGAAAATCATACAATCTCTCCAGATAACTTTAATCAGTATTTTGCAGAAATTGCAAATAATCTAGTAAAAGATATTCCACCAATCAACTTACGTCTTCCTGATATGAAGTTGACCACCACAGGAAATAACTTTTCTTTTTCTCCAGTAACTTTCAACCAAGTTAGAGACGTCATCAGTAACTTGAAAAATAAAAATAGCCGTGACCTTTATGGACTGAATGTAAAACTAATTAAATCTGTAAAAAATATTATAATAAGCCCTCTTACTAAACTGATAAACTTATGCTTTCAAGAAAATACATTCCCTCAAGTTCTTAAAAGAGCTGTTGTAACCCCCATTTTTAAAAAAGGTAACTCTCAACTACCTGAAAACTATAGACCAATTTCACTACTGCCAATAATTTCAAAGGTAGTTGAAAGATGTATGTCTCTACAAGTGGTTGATTTCTTCGAAAATAATAACTACTTTTCGAAAAGCCAATTTGGCTTTAGGGAAGGCAAGAATACAGTGCTGGCCATCCTGGACCTGGTCTCATATATAATAGATTCATTTCATAATCTTGAGTTCACCTCAGTCTTGCTATGTGACCTTAGCAAGGCCTTTGACTGTGTCGACCACAGCATCCTCTTGCAAAAATTTAAAAACTATAACTTCTGCCCAGAAAGTATCAACTTAATTCAATCCTATCTTACAGGCAGAGTGCAGGTAGTGAGAATCTCTGGGGTGGACTCATCGGAACGAGTAATGAACATCGGTGTCCCGCAGGGGTCAGTGCTGGGTCCGATACTGTTTCTAGTGTATATTAATGATCTACCAGCCATTGACAACAAAGCCAAGTACACACTATTCGCTGACGATACAACACTGTCTTTCTCTGCGGGCGCTCTTGATAGGGCTTTGGAGGTTTCCAGGGAGGCACGGGAAGGAGCCGAGGAGTGGTTTAGAATGAATAAACTGCTGCTTAATACTGGAAAAACACAACAAATTGTATTCTCAATGAGAGATAATGGGGACATAAATCAGACAGGCAGTGTTGGATTTCTAGGAGTTCAGCTTGATCCAAAACTACAGTGGGGACCCCACATCAATGAGCTATGCAGTAAGCTAAGTAGAGGCATCTTCGTT